ATGGTGTTTGTTTTACCCATAAACAAATCATACAGTAAATGAATAAAGGCAAGATACACACATAATTACCACCTGTCAATCACTTTTTTCTGCGGGACTCGTGAATTGGCAGTGATCTGTGTCGTTATAATGGCGTTGTTAAAAAAAACGCACAACCAACAGGAACCAGCCAACAGTATCTGAGGTGTGCACTAAAATGACTAAGTACAAGTGAGTGAAAGATTGAAGCAGTCCTTTGACTGCCTGGACCTGCTGTCTCGAGCGCATGGCTGTGTATGCGTCTGTGTCTGTGTGGTCACGTGATGTGCATTTTCAGAGGTAGAGAGGAAGGAGGGCTGCTCAGAAATGCTACACGCCACTGTGGATGTCAAATCGCTGTCGTTCTAAAATGCCATTTAAAAACAAAGACAGTGTAAACAGGGCCTGAGTGTGTACTTTTCGCGAGCGGATTTGCAAGGGGGGCGGGTGGAGGATCGCGATGCCGGTGTTGTCTATTGGACGAACCGTACGTAATACGTACATAGCAGAGCTTGCAAAACTGTGTTTTTTTTTGTCTACAACACGAACGTTGTCAACATAACTCACTGGAAATCCAAAATGCTTACACACCGGCGACTTCATTGAAAGAGGAGAGGGTTAAAGTTCTGTCGACGGGTCTCCTGCTTCTGCAGTTTAACAAGCACTTCAACAAGCCTGTTTTTTTCCCGCTTGGCAAGCCAAGCATCGACGATTCTATTTTTTGATTCGATAATCGAAATTGAGCATAAATTTCGATCGATTTCGATTAAAAATTGAAATCGTGACACCCCTAGTAACATCCACACAACGTCAAGCTGTAACATCATTAGATGTTAATATTTGGTTGGTTTTGGGTTAGACGTTGTACACTGACGTCTGCCTGACATTGCATTCTGACGTCAACCCCGTTTTCATTTTCAAACAAAATGCAAGGTCCCCACGATGTTGGGGTAATGGTAATAATAATAATAATAATAATAATGATGATGATGATGAAGATGATGATAAAATCTCTCTTCATTTCGCTGCCCCTGATTGGCAGCACCCAAAGCATTTGAATACTACACCTAGAGCCAGCCCTTGATTATTTGCCTGAACCTGACTTTGTGTGAAAGCTTTGCTAAGTAAATATTTTAGGTTAATCCTTTAATAATGTGCCTTTCTGTTTGTTTTAGTGGTATTACCCCTTTGGGTTTCACCTGCCTTGTTTTTTCTAGTGTTGCATTTAAGTGGACTGAGCACTCAGTTGTTTCAAGGACACAGGATGGTGCTTGAGAGTCAAGCGTTTCTGGTTGCTTTTCCTTCCCATTTGGGCTTTGTGCAAATGGGACCACCATCAGCAGCTGTGTGAATGCTAGGATTAGTTCATGGAGGTAGTTTTTGGGTTGTTCTGCAGGAAGCAAGACTGGAATTATTGATGACTTAAATCTGTTCAGAACCTATAGTTTTGTTTTGAGGCCTAACTTCATTTAACGTAAACTTTGATCTTGAAATCGTTGAAGACCTTATACATTCACAAACAGCTACACTACATAAAAAGGTCATATCTGAGAATGGCGTACTTAAATATTTGTAAACGGAATGCTTTGAAAGCCAAGTAAATGTACACTTGACATAAAAGAGTCTTTGGCATTGGGTAGTTACAGGAACTCAAGCTACGTTTACACGACAATGATGTAGTCATAAATGGAAACGTTTTTCCCTTGTGTTTTGAAAAAGTTAATTTACACACATCCACAAAAACAAAGCAAAATGATGTATTATGTACGCCAGGCAAGCAGTTGGTGCTGCCAATTTGTTACGAAACAATACCTTTAGGGAAGTGGTGATGTGCTGTTCAGGGCTCAGCACTCATGTCTATATAGTATAATTAGCTGTTCATCTTCACTATTGGTTGTGATGTAAAGCACACTTTGCTGATAGACCATTAGTGGACACTTGAGCAACAACACACTGTCACTGCTGTGCATGATTGTTTGTGCTTGTCTTTAATCAACACCTCCATAAACAAGTACTAAGCACACACGTTATAGTTTTCAAAGACTGTCACGTTTGGGTGTTTACATGGTTTAAAAATAACCACTTTGACACCCGTTTTTAAATGTGTGCGCTTTCAGACTCAAAAACAATACTGGAACTGTAAATAAACAGGTAAAATGTGTAAAATGTTCCAGTTTTTGCCTAAAAATGTTGTCTGGCCCATAAGCTATAGGAACTAACCATTAGACTTAGTTCGTCATGAATTTCCCACCAGACCAATTTCCTGGTTGCATTTGCATTATACACAGGACCCCTGGAAGTGATATAAGACAACTTACAATGGAATCCAACACAACATAAGAAAAAAAAGTAGGATGCAAGACACTGTGATTTTATTGCGCCATGTGTTACATGAACAGCAAAAATCAGGACTATATAATCAATGACAAACTGTAGTGCTACAGTATATTTTGAGGTAAAGAAATGCACATAACACTACAAACAAAGGCAACAAAAAGTACAGCTAACATTAGCTTTATGCATGTACAGTAGGTGACAGTTTAATGTGGCCATTTCCGTTGCACGATGTACCGCTGCCGCTTTAAAAGGAAAAATAACTTGTTTTTTTAGGTATGACCGAAGTTTGAGACTATAACACCAGGTGGCACAAAGGGACAGTATGCGAACGGCTAGGCAGGATGCCTATACATTAGCTGTAAATGCTCTGCTACTTGTAAATACAGATACACAATAAAACAAACCATTACAATTCCTTCATTAATCATTAAAAAGACAACCAGGCTACATTATTTAAAGAAATAAAGAATAACAAAAAAACCTTTGGGGTGGAGTGCTTCAAAACAAGTCTGTTATATGCTTCAGCATCAAAACACAAGTTGCCGTGATATAGTGTTGGTTTGTTAAATAAAATAATAATTTAGCCTAATTAAATGAAAGTGAAATATTCAGTTTCAGAGAAGCCTATATTAATTGAAAGAAGGATATTGCTGGGCACAGTTTGACACAGACGAGTTGACAAACCAGCGCTGATACTGATCACCTCTGTGCTGCCCGGAGCCGTGTCATAAACCCAACTGATGGGCTATTGATGATTTAGTGAAGGCTACAACCAACAAACCAATGTATGTATGTATGTATGTATGTATGTATGTGTGTATGTGTGTGTGCGTTTATGTATGCATGTATCTATGTATGTATGTGTGTGTTTATGTATGTATGTGTGCGTTTATGTATGTATGTATGTATGTATGTATGCATGCATGTATATATGTGTGTATGTGTTTATGTATGTATGTATGTATGTATGTATGTATGTATGTATGTGTTTATGTATGTATGTATGCATGTATGTATGTGTGCGTTTATGTATATATGTGTGTATGTATGTATGTATGTGTGTGTTTATGTATGTATGTATGTATGTATGTATGTATGCATGCATGCATGCATGTATATATGTGTGTATGTGTTTATGTATGTATGTATGTATGTATGTATGTATGTATGTATGTGTGCATTTATTTATATATGTGTGTTTGTATGTATGTGTGTATGTATGTATGTATGTGTGTGTTTATGTATATATGTGTGTTTGTATGTATGTGTGTATGCATGCATGGTTATATATGTGTGTATGTGTTTATGTATGTATGTATGTATGTATGTATGTATGTATGTGTGCGTTTATGTATATGTGTGTTTGTATGCATGTGTGTATGTATGTGTGTGTTTATGTATGTATGTATGTATGTGTGCGTTTATGTATATATGTGTGTTTGTATGTATGTGTGTATGTATGTATGTATGTATGTATGTATGTATGTATGTATGCATGCGTGCGTGCGTGCGTGCGTGCGTGCGTGCGTGTGTGTGTGTATGTGTGTGTGTGTGCATGTATGCATTTGTTTTGTAACAATTTTAAATGATGTGCCTCTTCCAGTGTTTCAGCTGGCATGCATTTGCCCAATTATTGTATACACTTATGCCACTGTACTTTCTATTGTGACCCTGTTCTGAAGTAGAAGCTAATTTTGTTACCCCAAAAGGAGTTTCTAAAACTAAAATCATTCTCAGTGTTCACTTCTGACTAAAGTTCTAGGAAGAAGGCTATTTAGCTGCATTTCAAGAAATAATTCACCCAAAAATAAAAATCACTTACCCAACTTTGACTTGTTCCAAACCACACTGTAAAAAATGCTGGGTTACACACAATTACTTGTGTGAATTCCAGGATTGAGAGTGAAGGAATCTTCTGAATGTGAAAAAAAGCATAGCTGCTTATGGGGCCGTTAACTTGTCGCGTCTTTTGCACATACTGTACGCGCTCGCATTTTCCAGGTGCACCCAGTTGAAACACAGCTTCATACTTTGTAAGGAATGTACACATTTCAATAGACTAATTACTTCAGACAAACACAGAACACTCAAACACTGCAGTGCTTTTAAGTTGGTTAAAGGTATCCGGTTTTTTTTCTAAATGTGTTTAGACAGGATTGGTAAAGTGAATGATGAGAGAATTTAAGTTTTGGCTGAACTCTGTAAGTCTTTAGAACATGTCAACCCACTGTAATGTTCCTCAGTGAATATTAAATTACTGAAAGAGCTGCAATTTATTTTGTACTTTTTATAGGTTTTATATGTTTTAAAAGTAACTCCAAAGTAAAATAATTAGTGATATGATTACAATTTTCTAGTAGTAGTCAGTAATTTGTAATCTATTACTTTAAGTAACTTATCCAACACTGACTATGGATGTCAATGGTTAAATGTTTCCAACAGTCTTTAAATTACATTCTAGTGTTCAACAGAACATTTGAAGTCACACTCCTTTGGAAATGGTCAAGGGTGAGTACATAACGGAAGAATTTTCAACTTTGGGTGAACTATCCCTTTAAGTGTCCAGTCATATTGGCTTTACACTTTAACTTCCTTCTGACACATGCATCACTACGCATTTAAAAGCAAAATAAAGCGAGACTCACTGGTGTGCTTCATGGCTGTTCCCATCACTAGGAAGCTCACAGTGATACTGATGGTGATAAAGATCTGGATCAGCTCTGCCACCCATGAAAGCCGGCTGTACTTCTGTGTTATGATCTGCGGAACAGCACACAACCAAGTCAGATTTACACTCCTAGCAACAGATTTCAGCTGGGAAATAATGACAGAGTTAATGCACATGGAAGCTGTCTTACTGGCCGACCACCACTAGATGACACCATTTGTCTTTCTGAGGAACTGACTTAAAGAGACTGCATTGAGCATCTAGCACTTCATCTGCACCATGAGGTTTGCGTGTTTGTGATTCAAATAACACAAAGAAAAAAAACAACCTTTACTTACAATTAAAATACTGTGAAGTCATATAAATGCAGTGTGATCTATTCACAAAAACAACCAGGCCAAGACCAAGGGAGTAATATTTCAGATCAAGAGCGAACCTATTGACATTTAAAGAGCCCTTTCTTCTTCTCACCTTTCTAGCAGAATTAGTTCAGAGGAGCTTTTCGTGTGCTTGAGGTCACACTTAATGTAGAGGTGAAGCTTTAAAGGTCAACGCTGCCTTAAACAGATCATTATGCTATATTTTTGGGCCAACGGAACAAAAAAAAAAAGAATGTTTTTCTGAAAAAGAAAAGGCTGAACTTTGTGCTCAAAAGGGCTTTGAGCTCTGGGCAAAGGCACTGCACACTGAAAAACGCAACATTATAAATTCGAACTGAACTTCTTTCCCCATCAATAAAACAAGATTTAGCTGGAAACAGGTTGTGTGTGGGCTCGGAAATTTGGGTCTCTCCAAGTATAGTCTTCTTTTTTTCGTCTTGTTCTCGTTGGTGTGCGAGTGCCCTGATCTCTTTGTGGTTGGCGGTTCTGACTCATATCTGACATTTCAATCTTTTCAGCCCCGTCTCTGGAATCTCAGCCCTGAAATGTACCATCCCTGAGCGCTTTTCATGTGCTTCTCGACATCGCCTCTGCGCGCGGTGAAATATTTTGGTGTTTCTGCTCTGATATGCCAAATCAGGTACAAAACACTTTGATTAATCTTAGGAATGAAACGGACCAAGAGACAGATTTGTAATCTGTTTAAAAACTGTTTCATCACCTTAGAATTATAAGGTTCTATCTGACATTTGTGTCAAAATTGAGTTATTGACGTATTCTTATTAAATGAAAAACTTATTTACATTATGGGATTTTTTAAATAAGTTGTTTACATTAAGACTTTTTATTTAAAAAAACAAATTTTACACACATGCTGTTTGCAATAGAATGCAAAAACTTTGAAGCTCAATATCTCAAAGTCATTCAGAACGCAGATAGAACATTATAATTCTAAGGTGACGATTTATTTATGTATTTATTTGAAAAAGCAGAGCAATATAAGGCTTCATCATATTCAGTGTTTTTTTCCTTCTCCATTAACAATCTTGCTAATTTCCCTAAAATGATCTCTAAAAAGCTAAACTGAAACAAACTATTACTTGACTAATGTTAAGATCTTAAAATCTTAAAAGGTTAACACATTTCTTTAAAAACTTGGGGAAAACTGTCACGGTCGGTGAGGGAAAAAAAGGAGTGCAGACCCAATTGCAGAAAAATGAAGGAATATTTATTATAAACTACAAATAAAAATAAAAGGCAAAACAAAACTACCCCGAAGGGGAAAACATTAATAAAAAGGCAAAAACAAACTTGACAGGGCTGGCAGGACAAAACAGGACTGGAGACAACAAGACAGAGTAATATTGACGACGAACTGACAAAGGACTGAAAACATGAGGGGGATTATAAAGCCAAAAAGTAAATTGAAACACAGGTGAACACAATTAACTAAATATGGGTTAACAAGGAGGGTGGGACTAGACAATAGACGGGAGAGCGCATGACACAGAGAGACAATACAAGCCATGCGCTCACATAACACAACACTGAAGCACACGACAAAAGCACGTGACCAATGTAAACACCGAGCCATGTGCTTTGACAAAAGACGCAAGACACGAGCACACGATAGATAAATACCTTACCGTGCGCTCACACATAAGCAACGCGCATGCTTCATCTCAGCGCCAACCAAAACTGAAACCAACTAGACGGAGGCGCCGAGAATAAAGCAGCGCGCTGCTGACAGAACAAACACAAACACTAGTACAAGAGCGCGCGCGTCTGAGGGACGCAGAGCGTGCGCGGCCACATCAAGTGGCAGCGCGCACACTCTGCGTACACCCACGACAGCGCGCGCGCGCACACAGAGACAGAAACAGGACCAGACGTGGAGTAGTGTCAGAGCTCTGCCACCAAAACAAGAATTTACAAGACCAAAGTGGCAGAACCCTGACACTAGCCCCCCCCAAAAGGGACGCCACCTGGCGTCCCTAAAGGGAACATCCAACAAGGTACAAGACAGACAAGAAACAATACAAGACAACATCAACAGACACAAGACAGGGGGGTGAACAGGCAAGACGACATGAAGGGGGGGAGGGAGGGAAGCCAAGCCGGACTCAACAAGACAAACAAGGGAGGGATGGGAGGGCAAGACCAGGGAGGATCAGGAGGGACAGTCCAGGGTGGATTCAGTGGGTCGGGGGCCCCGGCAGGGAGCCAGGGTGGAGCCGGAGGGTCCGTCCAGGGTGCAGGGAGGGAACACCAGGGAGGAGCAGGAGGGACGACCCAGGGAGAGTCTATCAGGGGAGACAAGGCAGGAGGTTGGTGGGGAGCCGGCTGGGCTGGAGGCCTGTGGGGAGCCGGCTGGGCTGGAGACCAGAGAGGAGCCGGCAGGGCTGGAGACCAGAGAGGAGCCGGCAGGGCTGAAGACCAGAGAGGAGCCGGCAGGGCAAGGCGCCGGGCTGGGACCGGCAGGGCGAGACGTCTGGGTGGCGCCGGCAGGGCAGGGAGCCGAGCTGGGGCCGGCTGGGCGAGACGTCTGGGTGGCGCCGGCTGGGCGAGACGTCTGGGTGGCGCCGGCAGGGGGAGACGTCTGGGTGGCGCCGGCAGGGCGAGACGTCTGGGTGGCGCCGGCAGGGCAAGGAACCGGGCTGGGGCCGGCAGGGCAAGACGTCTGGGTGGCGCCGGCAGGGCAAGGAGCCGGGCTGGGGCCGGCAGGGCTAGACGTCTGGGTGGCGCCGGCAGGGCTAGACGTCTGGGTGGCGCCGGCAGGGCTAGACGTCTGGGTGGCGCCGGCAGGGCTAGACGTCTGGGTGGCGCCGGCAGGGCTAGACGTCTGGCTGGCGCCGGCAGGGCTAGACGTCTGGCTGGCGCCGGCAGGGCTAGACGTCTGGGTGGCGCCGGCAGGGCAAGGAGTCGGGCTGGCGCCGGCAGGGCTAGACGTCTGGGTGGCGCCGGCAGGGCAAGACGTCTGGGTGGCGCCGGCAGGGCAAGGAGCCGGGCTGGGGCCGGCTGGGCAAGACGTCTGGGTGGCGCCGGCAGGGCAAGGAGCCGGGCTGGGGCCGGCTGGGCAAGACGTCTGGGTGGTGCCGGCAGGGCAAGGAGCCGGGCTGGGGCCGGCACTGAGGGACGCTCGGGGGCTGGAGCCGACACTGGAGGGCGCTCAGGGGCAGGAGCCGACACTGGAGGGCGCTCAGGGGCAGGAGCCGACACTGGAGGGCGCTCAGGGGCTGGAGCCGACACTGGAGGGCGCTCAGGGGCTGGAGCCGACACTGGAGGGCGCTCAGGGGCTGGAGCCGACACTGGAGGGCGCTCAGGGGCTGGAGCCGACACTGGAGGGCGCTCAGGGGCTGGAGCCGACACTGGAGGGCGCTCAGGGGCTGGAGCCGACACTGGAGGGCGCTCAGGGGCTGGAGCCGACACTGGAGGGCGCTCAGGGGCTGGAGCCGACACTGGAGGGCGCTCAGGGGCTGGAGCCGACACTGGAGGGCGCTCAGGGGCTGGAGCCGACACTGGAGGGCGCTCAGGGGCTGGAGCCGACACTGGAGGGCGCTCAGGGGCTGGAGCCGACACTGGAGGGCGCTCAGGGGCTGGAGCCGACACTGGAGGGCGCTCAGGGGCTGGAGCCGACACTGGAGGGCGCTCAGGGGCTGGAGCCGACACTGGAGGGCGCTCAGGGGCTGGAGCCGACACTGGAGGGCGCTCAGGGGCTGGAGCCGACACTGGAGGGCGCTCAGGGGCTGGAGCCGACACTGGAGGGCGCTCAGGGGCTGGAGCCGACACTGGAGGGCGCTCAGGGGCTGGAGCCGACACTGGAGGGCGCTCAGGGGCTGGAGCCGACACTGGAGGGCGCTCAGGGGCTGGAGCCGACACTGGAGGGCGCTCAGGGGCTGGAGCCGACACTGGAGGGCGCTCTGGGGCTGGAGCCGACACTGGAGGGCGCTCAGGGGCTGGAGCCAGTATGGTGGAGGAGCCCTTTCTCTTCCTACGCTTCCTTATTTTTGGTGGCGGGAAGCTGGCCACCTCTTCAGACACTGCAGCATACTCCACTGCCTGCTGGACTGATGCAGTGTCTGTTGCGGGTGCTTCACTGGGTGATGCTGCAGCCAGTGTTGTAGCTGGGTGGGCTGCAGCAGGTTCCGTCACCAATAGAGGGGTAACAATAGAGGAAGACCTGTTCCTCCTCCTCAGTTTCCTCTTCTCTGTGGGAGGCAGCAGTGAGCTGGGTTCAGGTTGGTCTGTTGGTGGAAGAACAGAGCAGATTCTCTCCTGACGACATTCATGGGCAACTTGATTAACCATATGGTCCACAAACTGTTTGTACGAGTAGCCCACCAATCTCTGTATCTGCAGAGGATAGAGGGGTTTATCAAGAGCGAAGTTCAGGAGATTCAAAAGAGCCCAGTCATTGAACCCAAGCCCCTCTGCTGCCATACGGAACCTCTCCGCAAACTCCTTTAGCTCAGAGCCATGTTGCCGCAGCGCATGCAGACGGAGAAGCTGTGGCATGTGGCTGAGGAAGGAGTCATCCTTCTGCTGGGTCCTCATTTTGGTCAGTTCGTACTGTCACGGTTGTGGTGGGGAAAAGGAGCGAGGACTCAAGTGCAACGAAACAATGGGTATTTATTAATAATAAAATAAAAATAAAAGGCAAAACAAAACTACCCCGAAGGGGAAAACATGAATACAAAGGCAAAAACAAACTT